TCATATGTGAAATTTGATACCAATGAAGGAATTTAATATTTTTAGTGAATAAAGTGGGCGAAATAAAGCATGAACATTTTGATGTCCGTGAACATCAATATTGGTGACCAGCAAGCTTCAATTTTTTTCCACTACGAAGTACACGGGCGCTGCGTGTACGAAACGTCGCTTGTATGGTGGATGTCGCGTGGATGAATCCATCTTTTCTGTAGTCATATTTAAATTTTTGCACTTGCACATTACTAAATTTCATTTGCTACCCATTCTTTCACCATAGATTCCTTTTGCACCACTCGACTTCCTCCTTAAACGAATAGACATGCCATGCGCAGTGTGTCTAGAGCCATACGGAAACGATAATATTGTAGGATTTCAGTGTGGGCATTCGTTCCACAAATCCTGCATTGATAATTATCGCGAAACATGGATGCAAAGTGGCCAAAGGGGTACTAGGTAAGTAGTAAAGAAATGAAATGAATTGAAAATAAATTAACTTTCCTCCTTCAACGTTTAAGTTACCCACTATGGGCTAGGTTTTTTGCCAAGTTAAGGTACCCATGCCCACTATGCCGACAGCGGCTTGTAAATCAACATCCGGTCTTTTTCAACTTTGGTGCCGAAGACTGTGCACATTCATTAAATGCACAGTGCCAGATTGTTCCAGAACAACAAGAAGTCATTTTGATGGATGAAAATGTTGATCATAACTTTAATAACAAGATGATCAACATGGAGAATGCTCATGCCCATGCCCATGCAGCCCCAAATGACATTTTTCATGTAGGTGCAGATGATAGTGACACACAAGAGAATATAAGTCCATGTGTTGCCGCCAATTTAATTGGATTAGTCATCATCATTGTCTTCATTATTGCCATCATCGTCATCGGGACATTCCATCTAGCATATTCATCACTAGATTAGTCAATTTGTCTAACAGTTTATATTTGGCTCACACATTGGGGTATGCGTATCAATATTGTAAAAAATGAATTTTGACAGTCGCTGCGGTGTAGTAAAGCTCAACCATTTAAGCTAATTATCTTAATCTTTATCTTTATCTTTTTTTCTTTTTTTTCATATCCATTGATTAGTTGTATTTTGATATTATCTGTTAATTAGATCAATTTGCCTCTTTGCTTTTTTCAATACATTGCTTTTTTAGATAGTTTAAAATATCGGTGAATTTGTTTTCGGTCAATATAGGTGAGTAATTCCTATCGAAACTATTTTAATCCATCTTGATAATTCACTAAAATTGTATCGATGGTAAGTTCTTATTGGAAGCCATGCAAAAATTGTATTTTGAACTTCTGATTTCATTCTTCTGCTGTTAAAGTGTGGAACTATGTTAGGTAAGTTAAAACATTTGAGAAAAACTGAAAGAAATTGGCCAATCTTGTCATGTAAAGGTAAAGTGAAGGCACTGTGGGAATTTTTGTTTCGCAAAAGTTTGGCAACGTTGCACAATTCCCTAAAAATATCGATGTGCGAACGGCTAATGAATTCGTTGCATTAATCTTGCTCACATTATGCTGAGAGATGGACATGAAAAAGCACAAAGCAGAATTGGAGACAAAAAAATAAAGAGCGTGCATAATTGAGTCGGACAGTTTGGTCACTGCTCAGCCCACAGTTATGAGCTTGAGCACGATTGATTTCATTGTGGAATGAGGATCGATATGCTAAATGGCCTGAGACGGCGACGTTATTTTTATGTGGCATGCTTGCGTTATGATTTCCTTTCCTCTTCGACTCCATGTAAACATATTATGGACTTAAAGCGGCACAGATAAAAAAATGTGGTGCGAAGTGTTCTGAAAAACTGGCTTAGGTGAACACTAAACACCCGCATCGCACAGCCAAATTGACAACGGGCTGGAATGAGGTAATCACGACGGCATTTTATGATCTTGTTGTTTCCAAGAAAAAAAATTGAAAGTAACAGAACGAAAACGGCGAAGAAGAATTCTTTGTTTCGCATTACATAGTTTTGTAAGCGAGCCGAATCGAGACGGACTTTGTGTTGTATTTGTACAGTTCACACAGAAAATTAATCGCAACCTAACGTCTTACTTGAAGTTTTACGTGAACATGAGCACAATCGCTGCCGAGTCAGTCGGGGTGTATACTGTATATACTCATTACTCACTGAACATTCAATGATTTTCTGTCTTGCGCATTGCGTATTGTGGAAATCCATGGAAACACTTTCAGGGATGAAGAAGACGTATGTATAAGAATGTCGCCATTGTTTGCATCCCCGGTGATACCACCGTCAAATTATCCATTGCATCGTTGTCCATATTCTAGAATGAGCGTAATTATTCTCAAATTAATTGATTTGTCCAAGTGAAATATTGGTTGTGAAAATGGAAACATTTAGCAAAAAATTGATACTGGAAAGACTGTAATTGCAATGGTAGAAAAAAAAAGGAAGACTCCAACTATTTCAGTCACGGCTATATTGAATGATGAATGATGTCAGCAAACGAACAATTCTCGGATTATAAATCGGAATATGGAAGAGATATAAGACTAGAAACAGCGTACCAATGCACCAAAGCACCCATATGCAGCCAAATTGCTATTCCGTCGACTATATTGATTTCAACTTGACAATCGCGTCGAAAAAAGAAATATATTTCACCAAAGAAAAGTACGAAATTACAAGAGAAGAAGTATGCAACGAGAGAGAAAATAAAAAGAAAGAAGAAGGAACCTTGAAGTGTCCCAATGTAGTCAATCACCTCAGGCAACTAGAATATTATATGAGTACATATCTTTTATGTGCAATGGGCATGTACACTATGTGTTTCTTTGACAATGTACATGTGTATATAATAACTCATGTCCATCCGGATTACATAGCTCTGTCTCTTGGTGTTTACCCGCTTGACCTGCTAACACCATCTTCAAATCTGTTACTATGCAGATCCAGTACAGATATCACGTCGCATGCCGCTGAAGAAACAGTACCGAAAGAAAAATGAAACAAAAAACATCAATAATAACAATCGAACGCTTTGCGGATTAGCGAGTGTGTATCTCATTTGCTTGTGGACTGAAAATTATTGTTGCAAAAGGCTTACGCTGTATATAATGCGGCTGGAAACGTTTACTCATGCTTACATACGGCGTAAACCTTTTGCAACAGAAATGTCTAGTTGGGTTTTCATCTCATTTTTTTATCATTTCATTTTTTGTCTTTTTGTCTTTTGCCCCATATTACACTTTCTCACGTTGTTGTAATCGCCTCAACTGCGTACATGCACACCGATATTGCACGAAAAATTCTTCTTTTTCTCCATCGAACAAGAATGTATTGAATTCCTTTGAAAAAAATCCAAAATAAAAATAACATCAACAACAAATGAGTATTGGATTACATATACCGACCGCGTGGAATGGCGAATCAGTGAAAAAAGTAACAGCCAAATTTGTTTACTATAGACGGCAGTCAGACGATGACGTAGCTTGTGGAAAAATAAACACAAACAACATATGGATTGTTGCAGAACGATAGAGCGAAGAGAACGAAGTAAAGAATCGAGCAGTGCAGTAATTTTCAAACCACTTTAAAGGCTGGAGTGGGACAATCAGCTGTTTTTAATTATCGTTGCTTTTATTTTCATTCATTCTCATGGGATGAATGCAAGAGCCGCTAACGGTGAAAATGAGTCCTTGCTGTTTTCTATCTCTTCTTTTAATGCGTTCGAATTTTTCTCTCGGATTGAATTTGAAAGCAAGCGCGTTGTTTAATTGTTTTTTATCTTCCAAAAGACTCATCCATTCACATTTCTTTGCTTTGTCAATTCAGGCAGTATTTGAATCGACCGCGAAAAAAAAACAGTTGTCGCCACTCGAATACACACATAAACTCATACACACAAACAAAACATTCGTTTTATTTGCCACGTAGCTTCGTTTCTCTATTTATATACAGAATACAATTCATAAGCAACCCGAATGATCGTCCATTACCCTAAACGCATCGCACAAATACATAGCACGTTATGGGCATTGCGCTCAAGCGAACGGAATAGTCAGTACGCGCGTTGATAGAAAGAATTCAAATTGGAGGGAAAAAAATCCCAACAGCATACGAAAACAAATGAACTGGATAAATCCGGTTTTGAATGAATTAAAAGAATCACGGCTTACAAGTGAACGAAACAATAACATTTTCTTTCCATTTTTCTACGCCAGTATGAGGATATAGGGCCAGAAAAGGAAAGAAAGAGACAGTAAATAGCCAATGTTGTAACGTTACTAAGTGAGAAAAAAAGTGCAGTCTCTTATTGTTTCTGTGATTTTTTTCAACGCTGTCGAGCGCGAGGGAAGCATTTCATGAGCAAAAAGCATTTCCATACCCACCAAAAAATTCTCCTGTCGTCGAAAAAAAAACACTCAATAAAAGCATACGAAAAAAATGACCAAAAAAAAAAAAAACAATTCAGATGGTGTGCGTTCGGTTTACTGCCGGTGATTCATATCGCTAGAGAGAAAAACGTACATTTTTCACTCTCTCTCTCTCTCTCTCTCTCTCTCTCTCTTCCTCTCTCAGAGTAGAAGAATACGACCATAAAAAAGCGACGAATGAAAGCGAAAAAAAAAAAACAAAAACTTGGGCCTTCCGACTAAGCGCGAGAGAAGAAACAAAACATGCCTATACATTCACATACGATAGCCGCTACACCGTTAATGAACACGTTGTTCGTGTATATGTGGGATCGTAAGAATGTGAGACCGCGACATACATGTAAATTGTGTTTGTTTTGCGTGTGTGTTTGATCGTATGGATGGTAGTCGTGCAGTAGCAATGGGTTACATAGTATTAGTTTTTCACTAGAATCATTATTATAAATCGTGTCGCGTTTCATTCCATTTTTTTCTCTCTTGTTATTTGGATGCTTTTTTCACTTTTTTTTGTTGCATCCAATTGTTTTGTTGGATTTTGGACATAGCATAGGTAAGTGTTTCCGTGAATATTTTCTAAGAAGTTTTTCGATTTTAATGAACTGTGTGCACTTAGTGGATATGACTGTGTGTGAAACTCGTGGATAAAAAAAAATTAAATAAAAATAAAATTTTCGATTGAAAACCCAACTAATGGTGATGCATTTGATTGAACGAAGCGAAATAGATGTATCGAATATTACTTCATTCAAATCTTCGATTCTCTCTCTCTATCTTTTCCACATCTTTCTTCTGCGACTTAATTTCGCAATAAAAACACATAGATGCTCAACTCAAATGGATTTATTCCTAGGCAAAATTCCATAGCCATTCCATTTTCAAACATTCTAGTGTGGTTCGAAACAAACTCATATTTCGTATGTAGCGCTTGTTTTTTTCATTCTTCTTTCACTATCAACTGGGGTGCGCCCAACTCATTTAAAATGAATATGTAAACAGACCAAAAAAATACATAAACTAGATGAACAATCTGATAATTCGTCAATGCCATAAGAATCCATTCATTGAAAACTCTTCTTCTGCTTGTCCACTGTTGAGTTTCGGTATTTGGTAACATTTTCATCTCAATCAACAGATATTCTGTACATAGAGTAAAATACCTTCGTGTGAGCAGATTTAGTATATTTTTGCCGAAAAGTTCCCACGTTGCTCCAGCTGCACACGATCATTTCACCAGTGAATGTATAAAGTTTGGAACGAAATGGTGATTTCAGTGCAATAGACAGAGACAATCAATTACCAATTCCACGATTTTTTTTTTGATCAATTTTTTCTTCTTTTCCAGTATAGACAACGAAGCTACAAAAACACAATCTCCCAAAAAACAACAAAGAAGTCTTTGTTTTAAATCAAATGTTCATAGTCAAGATTGACTGAGGTGCAAGCATCGAAGTTTTCAAATCAATCGAAGCCAAATAAATCATCACACGTCAACCAATATCAGCGCAGTAATTCTAAAACACACGCCGTAAGAGCACAAGGTAATCACAAAATATAATCAGCGAGTACAGCTGCTCATAATTTCGCGTTATTCTTTTTGGGTCAAGCTCTTTGTCTACGCAGATCATTAAGAGTTAAAATTTATAGCATTCATATTGAGTTTAATGCATCGTCTAAAATGAATAGATTTGATTCAAATGACGAGATTCTTTTCCCTTTTCAACTCCATAGCCATTTCATTTCGACGAATTTAGTTTTCGTTTGTGGCCACTCAAAGCGTAGCATGCGTGCATTTGTTTATTCTTCATTCATTCTCAACTGTACACATGCACGCAGTTCAATTGAAACAATATGAAAATAGGCAAAAAAACACACAAACTCACTCACACCTTCCACACAATCTGTCTCGTCATTTTTGCATCGCGCGTTCTTTTGGTTCCCTTTCGAATTAGCTGCGTGGCGACATAAAGTCGCCGACATGGCATAAATTTTTATCCGTATATGCGTATGGACTTTTAGACAATTTGAATGAAAAAATCCTTTTTTTCCTAGATTGAAACGGAACATTTTCTGTTACACTTCATATTTACTTGATTTTGAATGAATTTGAACTGTTAATAGCTAATCATATAGGCAAAAGAAGTGATATAAATAAAATCACTTTTTAATTGAATGAATTGTTGGTGTTGAATTTTATTGCGTTCTCTGCAATATTGCCGAATATGATTAGAGTTAGGCATTCAATGACATTCAACATTGAGATAATTTTAGTTTTAATGGAGATTGAACGTATGTTATGCAGTTTGTTGATAAAGGTGTTGTTACGGATGTAAGAGAACAAATATGTATTCGTGATTTCAAAAGGTAAAGGTGATTTCAAACGAAATTTCGATTTTGTGTTTTCAAATATGTATTCGTGATTACTTTTGAGTGCTGACGTATATCTTTATACTGTAGTACTTAAACTTATAAGCCAAAGTTCAGTGAATTCAAACACCACCGATCGCTTAAAATTAAGTTGAATTCATCGCCAAAAGATAATCTAAGCATGTTTTGACGAATGATGCGAATGAAATGACAACTTGTTTTCTATTGAAATCAATTGAAAGCCATGGTTTGGGTATACAAATAGAAACATCGATAAAGTGTTCGAAAATATTATTTTCTTTTCTGTTCTTTTCTTCTTTTTAAATAGATAAATTAAAGGTCATCAATTGAGCAACAATTGAATTGTTATCGGCTAAAAATGGTTCGAGTCTTTGTTCGAACTACGACCGAAAAAATGGTATTACGTGCTGGTGCGTTAGAGATTGATGACGATTTAATAGCGGAGCTCAACGACTTACCGGCCGAATGCCTTCACATAATTTTTGATCATCTAACGTGGAAA